CACACTGTCCCACTATAACCAGTCTACCCAACCTCTCTGTCCCACTATTATTTCGCCAGGCTTCCAACAGGCTGTATAAAAGAGCTTATGGTGCTTGTTGTTGAAATATAGTCACAGCTGATGGACAAGGTTTCCCACATGTCAGAATTTAAAATTTTAAGATGCCAGCTGTATTATCTGCCTGGAGATTTCACCAGTTGTTGTTTTTGTTGCTGCTTGTTTAATTCTCAGACAGGACTTGTATTTTTATTAAAAGACTCAGACATGTTTACCTAAATTCCACCAGCATGTCCCATCCCACCAGGCAGACATTATCACAGACCACTTTCCCAGGGGCTGGACCGCTTCGCCAGTTGGCCTCAGAACAACAATCCCCACAAGAGGATGCACATTCTCACTATTTCAGCTCAGGTCAACATCTTCCCCGTAATGATTGGTAACCAGCACCTCTGGCCTGGGTATTACCTTTGGGATACTGCAACTGATATGTTGGATTCCTCACAAAGACCAGATCGTTCGGATTGGTGGTCACACGCAATCACTCTAGTGCTCACACTGGACCCTCAAGGCTGTTGCCGCTCCCTGCCTGTTCATGTGACTTTTTGTTTGCATCTTCTAACAATCACTTGGAATGTAGCCAATTATAATAATGTTATATAAAAAGTAACAAAAAATACTTTGTTACGGTAATGATATTGTACTTTCCCTTAATTCTTCAGTACCACCAACAATACACTGTCTGCCAGAAGGCTACAGTGCAAGTATGTTTACTTTGTCTCTGGTGCCCCCCCCCCTACAGTGGACAAGGTAGTGTTTCTATATAGTTTTCTATATATAGTGTTTCTATAGAAATAGACTTTTTTTTCTTCCTTCTAAAAATAAAAAAAATATAAACATTTTAAAACTATTACATTATTTGTTCTCTAAAAGGGGATGAACTAATGAGATTTCAGTTGACTTTGTTACAAAGCGATACAGGAAATGACCCGAAAGGACCAATATAACACATTCACACCTTGAGGTTAAAATAAATTATTTCAAGTGGGTGTACAGTTCTCCTCAGCCTCTGCGCGGTTGAGCCATGTGCTCTTAGATGCTACACGAGCTGAGGAAGTTGGGTTTCCCTGATTTGCTTTGCTGTTTCTCTGTGCGCATTCTACGTTTGTGTGTGTGTGTGTGTTGGTGTGTGTGTTGTGGTTGTGTGTTTAAAATCCAGACCAAGATGTTTAGAGTGGAGGGAAGTGGCTTGGCGCCATGAGGCAGAGGAGGAGATAGGCAGCGAACTGAAACCACAAACACACACACAACACACACACACACACAACACACACACACACTTGGAACATTCCCAGCAGTCTCTCAAACAATTCCCGCCCATCTGCCTCTCCAGGCCATCTGCTCCAACTACTTTGAAACGGAGGGAAAACAGTATCTCCAGCTTGTAGACAGCAGCCATCTGGTGAAGAGAGAAGAGGGTTGGGGTGGAATGGTGTGTGTACGTTGGTGGGGGGGGGGATTTAAATGCTTTTTTTTTTCGTTCTCAACCCTGAGTTTGTTGTATTTTTTGCTTATTGTTTTGCCCCCGCATAGGCCTGAGGTCACAGAAACAGCAGGAAATCTCAGACCTGAGCCTTGACTGAGGAAAACTTTGTGACTATACTGAGTAATATCTGCTCTATAGAATATAAGTATATATTTTATTTTACTTAAAGAGCTTCCACTGAAATCCATGGGGGTGGGGGGGGGGGGGGGGGCATGGTAGCAGCTGCAGCTGCAAGTATAAATAGTGCTGGCTGATTGTAGCCATAGCCCCAGTCTGTGTCTCTCACTCATAGCTGCCAGTAGTGTTTGCATGCTGTCGTACATGAAAGAGAGATTTATTCCTCTTCATCCTCTTCGTCTTAGTGTATTGTATTGTTTGATACATTTCCTTTCAAATGGTTTCCATTATCAAGTGGAATGATTAGGTTTTCTTTTCTGCTACAGAGTTGGTAATTGTCTTCTTTCTACCCAAAATTCAGATTTACAAAATCCAGTTTTGTTTAAAATCCAAAAGGTTAATCGGAGTATTTCCAGCTGCTGAATTTAAGTTTCCATCTTCCAAACTAGGTTCCTCCACGATTACAAAAATGAATCCAAGGATGTGATTGGATTTCAAATTAGTAGGGGTTGACAACAAGGTTGTAACTATTTTTTATTTTTTATTTTTAGTTGGTTGGGGGATTTATTAGTAATTAGTTACACTGCTAGTTACTGGGGAAAGTAATATTATTAATACTAGTAATGATTTTTGTCATATAGCATACAGTAGTATGCAGTTATACTACGAACACTGTGTAAGGATGTCCTCACTGTGTGGGATGTAAAGATTTCCGATTTCCATAAAAACTTCACCAGTAGATGTTTAAACCAGGAGCAGTCAGAGCTGATGAGAGTGGCCTGTTTTAATGGACTCTTTCTTCTGTGTTTCAGGAGTGAAGCTGACAGCAGTGGACAGGTCCAACACATACCCCTTTGACAAAACTATATAGATGCAGGACACTGGGAGGACGAGATGAGGATCCGATTGAGGAAATGGACAAACGGACAGGATGATTTATACATATGTTGTTATGAGTTGCTCTCACCACACATTGCCAGATTAACTAACATATCTGAGATGAAAAGTTCTGTATGTCGAGGCCATGACAGCTAACTGATTAAAAAGATTCAGCATACAGAATCGTTCAGCAATAATCTTCACTCAACTATGCATACAGCTACATATATTGCATTACTGTGCTCCAATTCTGCATTTTCCACTGCCACCCTTTCAATTCCATGTTTGAGTCTGTATTTCCTGGCAAACCTCATTTCTGTGCTGAAATCATCAGAGCATGCAGCTGGTCTGGTGGCAGGTGTGTAAAAAGCTCCAGTTTAATGAGCAGAAAATATTTGAAATCAAACTGCAGTTCAAGAAGCTCATTCATTCATTGGTTTTTATATTAGACGTTTGCTTTATAGTTTATATGCCTGTTACATTTCAAAATATTATCAAATTATGTTTATTCAATACAAATAAAAAGAAAAAGTAATGCATCTTTTCATTAAAGCCTGCCTGTATGATAATTGCCCATATTCCATAGCTGTAATATCCTGATACCGTCAGACACATCAACAGGGTGTTTTTCTCAGACCTGACAAACAGCTCCTCCAGAGCCACAGAAGCCGTGTTGGGAGGTAACTCAATAAAACTAGTAATATTACTTTCCCCAGTAACTAGTAGTGTAACTACATTGATTTGAAATCCAATAATCTGACCACATCCTTGGATACATTTTTGTAATCAAGGAGGAAACTAGAGTAAATTAAGGTAATACAACAAGTAGTGTAACAGAGTAATACGTTTTCAATTACTTTTGAAAAGACTAATGAGTAATACATTACATGTTTTAAGTAACTAGCCCAACACTGCACAGAACACATTATACAAGTGGCTGGTACACTGATAATTAATTAGTTAATATTAACATATGGTGCTGTTGATGCAGGAGGATGATGCGTGATGATGAGTGCATGAGTGACAACACTGATAGAAAAGCAGAAAGGACCACACAGCAGCAGACTCAGGCGCTTCGAGGGGCAGGGGTGAAAAAATAAAAAGGGCATCAGTATGCAGAAAGGTGATGCATTCATGGTGAAACAGTTTAGTCAGGGTTTAGGATTTCAGCAGCCTAGAATGAAATAGTTCACCACATTTATCCACTGGAAGGGCACCTTAAAGCAATTTTGTATCATGTTTTATCTACCTAAGGGGCATCCATGTTTTTTCAGACATAAATGTGAATATTATGCCTGCTTCATAGATTAATAAATGTTTTATTAAAATACAAATTCTCCAAAAGCTCCAACGTTTGGGGCTCCATTTTCCTAGAACAAGGCACTGATGCAAAAAGCATTAGATGAAGAGATGCTCATCTCGATGAAGCACCTGAAGTTTATACACTGAACAAAATTATAAGAAATGCAACCTTTGTTTTGCCCCCATTCATCATGAGCTTAACTTCAAAGATCTAGACTTTCTCCATGTAACACACAAAGGCTATTTCTCTCCAAAAAAAAAAAAAAAATAATTGGTTTTCACGAAATCTGTTCCAAAATGCTGTGTTAGTGAGGCACTCCCCTCCTTTGTCGATGATTAATCCATCACCTCACAGGCTGTGGCATATCAAAATGCTGATCAACAGCATGGGTAATTGCACAGGTGTGCCTTTAGGCTGGCCCACATAAAAGGCACTCGAAAATGTGCAGTTCCATCACACAGCACAAATGCCCAAGATGCTTCCGCAAGTTGTAAAGGCGTGCAAGTTGGCCATGCTGAACTGCAAGGAATGGTCCACCAGAGCTGGTTGCCCATGAATTGTGTTCATTTCTCTACCATAAGCCCCGTCTTCCAAGGGCGTTTCATAGAGTTTTGGCAGTAACATCTTCACCTCCAATTAATCGTCTCCGACCGAGCCACTTCGGACAGCTGCTGCACAATCGGTTTTTTTGCCATAACCAAAGAATTTCTGCACAAACTGTCAGGACATCTCAGGACTCATCTTTGCATGCTCGTCCTAATGCGGGGTTCTCGACCCTGACTGGCAAGTTCGTCGTCATAAATCCGACTTGAGGGGCAAATGCTTACATTCGATGGCGTCTGGACACTTTGAGAGGTGTTTTCTTCACGGATTAATGTTACAGGTGCAGATGGCAGACGGCGTGTAATAAGGCGTCGTGTGGGTGAGGGGTTTGCCTGATGTCAATGTTTGTAGATCAAAGTGGCCCATGGTGGCGGCGGGGTTAATGGTATGGGCCAGGCGTGTGTTTGAAACAACGAACACAGGTGCACTTTATTGATGGCATTTTGATATGCACATAAATACCGTGACAAAGATCCTGAGGCCCATTCATCCCACCGACCATCACCTCATGTGCCAAAGAATGATAAGCACGGCCCCATGTTTGCCAGGATCTGTACACAAATTCCTGGAATGTTGAAAAGAACATCCCGTTTCTTGCCATGGCCGCATACTCACCGGGACATGTCACCCATTGAGCAATTGTTTGGGATACTCTGGATCGGCCGTATACGACAGCGTGTTCCAGGTCCTGCCTTATTATCCAGCAACTTCGCAGCAGACCATTGAAGAAGGAGTGGACCAAACCCATCTAAACAACCTGATCATCTTTCAATTATACACTTCACCCTTGTTTGTAATAATAATATGTGTGTATATATAATATATATACTAATATATGTGGTTGTGTGTGTGTGTGTGTGTGTGTTGTGTATATATATATATGTTCTTAATAATTAATTATATGCTGTATTTAAAATATGTTGTGATTTTAGATTTGGAGTTGTAACGAAAGTAATTTTCCCTGGGATTATTAAAAGTAAATTTCTGAATTCTGATTGTTTATGCGAAGGAGATGTGTTCACTTGTGTGAGGCAATGGTGGTCACACCAGATACTTAACGGGTTCCTGGACCCGCCTCAGAACTCCCCCAAATACGTGAAACTGCAATTTTTCGAGTGGCCTTTTATTTGTTGGCCAGCCCTAAAGGACACCTTGGTGGCAATACCCAGGCTGTCTGATGCAGCATCTTTGAATATGCCACCTTGTGAGGTGGATGGATTATCTCGGCAAAGGAGAAGTGCTCACTAACACAGATTTTGACAGATTTGTGAACAATATTTGAGAGAAATAGGCCTTTTGTGTACATATAGAATGTCTTAGATCTTTGAGTTCAGCTCATGATGAATGGGGACAAAAACAAAAGGGTTGGTTTATAATTTTGTTCAGTGTAAATAAAATAAATTCACCCCAACCTAAACAATATACATCACATCTAACAGGCTGTCAGTGGCAGGATGAACAGAAAAGTATGTTAGTGCCTCAGCTGCAGGAATTTTGGTGGTGTTGGTTACATCGATCATAAAAGCCAATTAATACATTTAAAGTGAGCGCCTCTTCTCTCATTTATATATGAAGTCCAATAAATATAAATACGTCTATATAATGTTCTCCAAAATTAGGGGCATGCTGGTGACTGTGTGCTGTAGCTCAGGGGTTCCCAACTTTTTTTCTGCAGTCAATAACTGCAGGAAGTTTGTGTAAACGAGCAATTTGGATGGATTTTGAGCACATTATTTCCTGTGAATGTTACATCACAGATGAGTTTTCCTGATAATTTTTTTATACAATTGTCTGTATTATGGATTATTTATTGCTTAACAATCATGACAAATACTGTTTTTTTTCTCATTGTTCTATTAGATTATTTTTTTCAACATTTAGGAGAATCTGGAACACCACATTCATGTGTATGTTTTCATTGGTGTATAGTCACCTAAAATTGGCATTGTTGTGTTTTTGTTACCTTAGAATGAGGTCACCTTGTATGGAGTTCGCCATGTTGAACCACTATGTTTCTATCATAGTTTCTCTTACATGCTTTACAGCCTGTTCTCATTTCCAGGTCGTTAGGTACAGACACCACTGGTGTTCAGTTAGTTGAGAATTGACCACTAGACGCCACTAAAAATGGAAATACTACTAAATACGTACATAAAAAAACAAACATGTATATCGTTTGCAAATATCAGTTACCTTTATTACTAATAATCGTTACCTGTATCGTCCATGATCTTCAGCCCTTAATGGAGGGTCAAAGTAACAAATGACATATTGAATAGATTAAAGGTGAAAGAGAGCACAATCTCAGAATGTAAATGCTTACTTTATCTGCTTTTTTTTTTTACATTTAACTTAGTTTTAAAAAGGAACTCCCTGACTTTCAGGGAAATGTGCGTTTTTGCAGTCTTACGTGGTTACAGACGAGAAGTATCAGATTCATCTGTGGAGGCTTCAGATGTGTTTACATAGCTAAGCACGGAGGATAGATGAGCTGCTGGCATATAACACAACAGTTAGAGGCCGTGCACACCCATGACAAACCCACACAGGTGATTGAAATTATTTTGGGCACGTACAGACTGTACTTGATTGACATTACCCTTGCTCTCCTGCTTTGTTGCACCTATTGGGGCAGGACAAATTAGTCCCAGCACACACAGCAGACAGGTCTCCAACACATTCACATCTACAGGCAATTTAAAGTATCCAATTCACCTCACCTGCATGTCCTAGCACTGTGGGAGGGAACTGAAGCTACTGGCCTGTATTTATCAATCTGATAATAGTATAATTTTCAGTTTTCAGTTTTTTGTTTAACCACTTCAAGTTGCCGTGGACTCAACCCTCCTTGGATAACCATGACCTGGATGACTGAGAATCTTCAGACATTAGGGATGTCTCCAACACTGAGGCTGATATGATCTTGATGCATTAAAGATACATATGAAGAAACTACCAATGACTCAGCTCTATTGCAATGCAATTTGACATGGTTTGAGTCAACATAATGCAATGAAAAAGAATATGATGCTATGCAACTCAATGTGGTACAAGTAGTTTGACTTTATTATTTTAGTTCTTCTTCAGCAGCTTGAGGAACAGTTTGAAGAGGAGATATCAATGTACAAATAAAATTACTGGTCACATTTCTATATAATAAAGGCTTAGGATGTCAACAAATAATTATATACAAATAGTTTTTTACCAATGCAAAGATGTTAGAAACGATGCATCATACCAACAATGGGATCTGTGAACAACAACAAATTTGTCAACAAATGTCCTATTATTTAAACCACAACTGAAATGATTGAAGGATGCTGATAGCAGTATTTGAAATCCCTCCGATACTGCCTAAAATGCAGGATTGTGTATCAAGTATGCCATCCAATACCACATCATTTATTAGCCACCTACGCTGAGGATTGGCTTACCCTGACATTGTCAGGTTAAAAAAAAAGTACAATTTCCACATTAAAACCCTTGGAGTCATCTACTCCTTCTATCTCATTAAAAAACTATGAATATACAAATTTGGGTCAATTTTGGGTTTTCTTGCTAGACGCACGATATCTAAGTCCATTCTCAGTGTATGTGCACTGGTGGCTTCAAGTTTCTACATCATATTTTTTCCCTTTGATTTTCGGGATCAAACACCAAACAAGCAAAATGTCACACTGATCATGCCACTTTACACTATGTTGAGGTTCAAACCAAATGTTTTTGAAAGTGTTACATCATTACTCTAAATGATCTCTCCTTATTGAAAGCACAGAATAGGCAGGTACATAACCAAGTTCAGTCCAGTGTCCTGTCCACTCCTCCTCCAGAGGATTTTTGCTGTATGTTGCTTAAAAACGCACCTAACTTCAGATCTGTATGTGGGTCTTGTCAGCGCACCACACAGACGTCCAGTATACAGAATCTGGCTCTACAGGTAGGGCAGGGGACCCTGCTGGACAACCAGGTCTCAGGTCTTTGCTGGTCTTGGCGGCTCGCAAACCATCGACCCAGACAGGAAAGACACCACATGGGTCTACAGAAACACTGCTGGCACTCTGACTCATTCTGAGCCCCTGTAACACACATCAGTCACAGTCAGAGGCACAGTCACAGTTATACAGAGACACACACACACACACACAGAGACACACAGAGAGAGAGAGACACACAGAGAGAGAGAGAGAGACACACAGAGAGAGAGAGAGACACACACAGACAGACAGACAGACAGACAGACAGACACACAGACACACACACCTTCTGTGTGGCAGAGACTGACGAGCTTGGTGTTTGCCGGAACCTGCATACAGCCAATACAGGGCTCCATCTCCTGAAGAGAGGTTTTCATTGTGATCACACAGACAGGACTATTAAACACAGCAGTTACAGAAACACACATACAGTAGTGTACCTGTCCACTGGGGAGTGTGTATGGCTGGTTGAGGTCCACCTGAGCTCTGAATGTTTCCAGGAAGAGTTCACTGATGGTTTGGTGGATCACTACATTGGCTGAGTTTCTGATGGGAGCATGGAGCTTCTCTCTGAGCTCTGCATACTCTGTAGAGTTAAGCCTGGAAACACAGCAAAACTTACTCGGCTTTTTGAGACATGGCATTTGCTGTTTTGTCGTGACAGCTCAAGATCCAAACTGGTATAAAACACACCTGATATCAAAGGATCTGACAGCCGGGTTGATGCTTTCCACTCTCAGAGTCAAGATCTGTGCAGGGGAGACCGAGTCTGGACTAAGCTGGTGCTGTCTAGACTCTGTCACCGTCACATGACAATCACTCTGTAAGGCCATGTAGACGTGATATGTGGTCACCTAGAGAGTGTAAACATGTGGATGAATGTAAATAGTTTTTGATTTGTTGATTTGGAATACTTTCAAAATGAAAACGGTAAACAAGACACAACAACCCTGATGAAAGCAAGATAATCGGAAATGTTGAATAATGGACTTTTAAACTGGTGTAAGCTGTTAACATGGGCACCAAAAAAAGGCAAGACGTTCTGCAATATGAGCAATTATCTCTACATATCTGTATATATATAGAAAGTGTATATATAACTCTAATTTTATATTTGTATTATTATTACGTCTTCTATTTTTATATTGGATTTTTATTTTATATGTTTTTACTTGTCTGTCACTCTTTTTTGTATTGTGCTATTTCTGGAATTTGCTCTAACAAGCAAATTTCCACATTGTGAGTGTCTTCTTATAAATTTCTCAGCATAGACTACAAATGTTGAGATATTATTAATGAGCCATACTGCCCAGCCTTACAGTTGCTTATTTACACATACAGCAGACAGAGATCAACATTTGCATTTATTTAGTCCTGGTGAATCCAAGTCCAATATTCACTCTCCTCACAGATTATACACATAAGCAACAAGAGGACCTGCAGTGTTATATAGTGATAATTGTCTGCAGGTTCATGAGTCAGTCACTTCTACACCATCACACAGTAATTTGAACTTTCTGAAGTATTGCTGATTAATTGATGATTAAGGCAGCTTTAACTGGACTTTCTTACATTTTGCTTGCTGGAGGCCAGAACCTTTCCCCTTACATACGGAGAGAGTGGGATGAGAGTGGACTGTGCTGTCTCAACAAATATATATATATATTTATATATATATATATTAAAAAAAAACTGCAAGCAGTGATGATCGGGCCCTCGCACTCCACGCAACTTGGGGTGTGCTGCCGCGGACCACAACATGAAAATTTCACATATCAGATCAAAAATCGCCAACGAGCGCTTTACTTTCTGTTGCCCAGTAGGAGTGCGCTATCACTATATCTGATAACTGTCATTGGTAAAAACCGTGTTCAGGGCGGGGACTCTTATTAGACGTGAAAGTTTGTTGAGATTGGATCATGTAACACTGAAGTAATTGACAACTTCCTTTTTTTGTGGCGAATCGTCAAATTGGAGATGGCCAGGCGTGAGACGGCAAGCTCACCAGGAACCCGGGATAAAAAACAGGCCAGACGGTCCATTAGATGACGTTCAACCCCAACGTGAAGTTTACGAAGCCAGCAGCCATAGTTAAAATGTATCCCTGCGGCCCAGATGCGGGCGATGTTTGAATCTTATTTAAAAACTTGCTGGCTAAAGATAAGCGTAAAATACAATAAGATTTGTTATTCACGTCGGCCGGTAATGACAACCCGATTACGCCAAATCGGAGTCAATAAGATTAATGTGGAGTCGGCTGTGTATTTATCGCCCAACAAACAAAATGTCGGACACCGTTGTTTTTCTCTGGACCCCAAGCCCAATGTGACCAGTTGATGACATGTTAAT